GCCTTAGAGATTAAAGTTTGGTTTAATTCACTATTAGCCAGTTGCACAAATGTCCACTACAATTGTCATTAGTTTAAAGCAACATTATCTATACAAATTTGTTATTCATTCGATCTTAATGGACGTTCGTGCAACTCAACCTAAGCCCAGATGCACAAACGTTCATTACTTACAATAGGAACCGTAATCCTTAACAGAAGTCTAATTTGGCATATGGGTAGATATGCCAAATTAGACTACTTTTATGCATTCTAATGATTGGTTCAATAATTATTAATGTACATGTTATTTTAATAAAATAGTACTATGAGTTTGGTCCTGTTAGTGGGACGCGGTATTCTCAGATCGTCCTTGTCAGGAATGCGAGGCCATCACGCCTTCGTGGTCGTTTGCGCTCTTTCGTGGCCGCCGTCCTCTTGTGAAACATAATAATTGTTATTTTAGATTGATTCATTCCGTATTCCGTGCATGTCATTATGTCGTCAGCTGGAAGATAGCCTAGCACCTTGTGACGGACGAGATTCTCAAATTAATAAGTGAATGATTTTTAAATCGATTTTTGCCTCTGATAAATGTTTTGGAGTGGAATTAATGAGCTCATCGTCGCATAGTGAATTTTTCCATTTATATATTTAATTCATTTTATTAATTAGGTGTTTGAATGACCAGTGATTTTTTTGGGATACTACATTATGTCGGTGTAACGTGGGTGTAACGATGCTTTTAACAGGATGCGTACGCCAAAAATAACAAGATATCTTTAAATTGGTGGTGCCATGAAAAAATGTCCAAAAGTTCTAAACTTGAGAAAACTACATATTTGTAAACGTTCTATCAAGTCAAAAAGCGAATTTATAAAACATTCTCGATAAAAAATAGTTACTCTTTTTTTAGGTAAAATTAGTAACTATGGGAGTTGGTCTGTTGTAATCCTAATGGTTTGCAAGTAATTAAATAAATAAAAAAAATGTACAATCCTCTGCTGGGCGACGTTACATAAAGAATCAGGGACAATCTTTTGTGTTACGTCCAGCCTTAAGTTCGATCTTGATTGCATAGTAAGTAACCGAAATTCTCAGGCAAACCCTATTCTTGATTGTTTTAGTATGGCATAGCAAAGTTTCTCTACGACGCGTAATTAAAAACAATTGTCATGATAGTTACGTATTTAAGCAGATAGTGATTTACATGAATAATGGTTTCGAAACGATCTCACGGAAACTTTATGCGTAACTGTGCTAGCCCCCTCCTTACGCGATTCATCTGATCTTCAAATAATATATATTACATACCTCCTGAAAGAGACATGGTTTTTGTAAATGTCATTACTCTTATCAGAGCTGGTGAGTTTCTTGCTCGTTCGTAGGGAAAAATATGTTGGACGATTCAAAAGTACTTTTAAGAAGTCTATTTGAATAAAGATTATTTTGACTTTGAAACAATTTTCTTGAACGTGTGGTAGACCTGAGGCGTGACTTGCATCTCATCACATCGCTTCACCGTTCCGATAATTTTCTTTTAGTTTGGTGATTTTAATTTTTCTTGTATAGCCTGGAGTAACAGTGGTTCGCATAATCACTCTAACGTTTTATTCGATGAGGTATCGAGTTTCTTCGGACTATCACAATACAACTACACACATAACTCAAAAAGCAATAAACTTTATCTTTGCTTCTCTAACCTGCCATTAGCTGTTACAACGTGTGCCTACCCCATAGTTAAGGAAGACGCATACCACCCCTCCCTAACTATAGTAGTTCTTGGTCTACATATCTCTAGGTTAGTGCGGGTGGCACTGTGGCGACGCTGCGTGGCAAGTTTGAATTAATCAACATTTGGTCAGCTACACAAACGTCCATTAAGGTTTAATGACGCCTTCAAGCTCTAACGAATGTCAAATTTGTATGGGTAATGTCGCTTTAAATTAAAGACTATTTTAATTGACGTTTGTGCAACTGGCTGATTGTCTTTATCTCTCTTTTTTAACCTTTTAACGTCTGTCTGTGACTCGTTGCTGTCTATGACATACTAGCCTCCCCCCAGCGGCTTCGCCAGCGTGGTCCATATAAATTAACCCAAATTAATTCACATCGTAATTTTTAATTTGTATACCTTTCAAAATATATCCAGTCCATACCTCTACCATACTATTATTGATTCTACCATAATTAAGGTACAAACGAACAAGTAAGTAAATAGGCAACATCCATAGTTCAAACTTATAATATCAGTAAAGAAGATAATTTTACTAACGTATATTCTCTTTAATAGTTTTAAAGATTACAAAGTAGATTTAAAGTAAGTAAAGTAACTCCATCTTTACAGTAGATTGTTGATAAAAATCCTTAGTGTTTAAGAATGCGAATATTCAAAATTTTTTATGATCGCTTGAATGATTGAAGCGACGAATTACACATATTATGATGGTGTGTCTACGCGACGTGGTAATATCCTTATTGAATAAATCGATTCATTGTGCCCTTGAAAAAATGTCTTCTTAAAACAATCATTCGAATTCAGAGAATTAGTAAGAAGCTAATTCATGCCTGACTAGTTTTCTCAGAATTTTACAAAAAAAAAAAAAAACATTTAAAATAACCTTGTTGTCAGGTTGAAGGATTTCGATTATTCAATAACTTAGATATCTTGTTGGCAAACTTCTGCAGTATATGAGCTGCTGAATCGAACTCTAATTCGCTTTGCAGTTTTGCTCCTTTTAGGCAATAACCTTTTCCATAAAATAAATGAGCTGCTAAGAACCACTTTCAGATTTCTTTGTTCAATCATATAATTAGTAGTTTACGTCATGGAATGATAAGTCCGATCATAGGATGGGTGACAAAAAATATTGTTTCGAGCTCTGTGCTGCACGAGGCATCGTCCCGACTGCATTCGCAGTCTGAAATACCTACCAATCAACAATGGGCCAATTATACGAATTGTGGTTCGTTCTTTCATTCTCCGTATTTTATTCCATTAAGAGCGAAAACCTATTCACCATCAGCGGGGGAACACGAATGACAGTCAAATATTTTGGAAAAATTTTATTTCAAGCTTCCATTCATAAGTAACACTTACTATCACCAAATATCCAAAAGGAACTAGTCGACATTAACATTTCTGGAAAAGGTATAGGTTTTATGCATATTCTCCGATTACTTGCCGATTTCGATTGTATGTCATTGCGACTTGCCATTGCGAGGCTGCAGAACTCATCAATTGGATAATGAATATATTTTTTTTTTCACACAAAACGTACCAGCACTATCACAAATAAAAACCGATACTTACAATACAATTAAACGGATAACTTCATTATTAATGAAAAATGCTTAATCAAAAATGATCCCGTCTTGACCAGGGCTTTTTTCTGATTTAAGCTTTTCTATTTGTTTCAGGATTTCAGGGCTTGTGAACTTTTCTATTAGGGCGATATCTCTACATTTGTTGTCGTTATTCTTATGATACCCTGAATCCAGTTGACTATAAAGGTTTGCGTAAAAAAACCTGCCTATCTTAATATTTTCCATTCGGGATCTACAAAACCAAAAATAAAGAAATGCTATGGTACCTACAAACTAAACGTTTTACAGAATCACAAATGTTAATATTATAAATTCTACATTATCCAAAAAAGGGTATAAAAACTGCATAGATTAAAACATGGATTCTATCTCTTCAGTTGGGATAATGAATATAACGCGAAATTCTATCACATAATAAATCAACGTTTGCTCAAATGAGCAGCGAGCAAATGAAACGTATCAAGGCGATAGCGACGATTTGTTTATACGTCACACGTGATATTTATTTTATATGATAGTGACGCAATAATACATTCCGTTTTGATCTTAGTGAATTGTTCAGTACGATTAACCTTTCAAAACTGTATCGTTGCGTTGAAAACTCGCTTAATTCTCAACGATATCCGTCTACGTAATTGATACAATTAACGAAAGGTCGCTCGTCTTAGTTTGGAGGCTTTTGTTTTGTTAATGCACTACATTCAATTACTGAATCATCATGCATAAAATGAAAGTCATTGGTTTTTTGCTATTAGTTTGTCTATGTAAATTGAGAATTCGGTACGTAGCATTGTATGTCATTGCCACGCTATTTGATAATGAATGTGTAACAAAGTTGATATTTGTATGTGTAACGGAGTAGATATAACAATTCGCATTAGTTTTGGTTTACCAAATATCATATAGTGATGGTATAATACCATTTCATACAGTCGCTTGTATTGTTTACTTCTCCGGTTCTTTTAATACATTGTTGGTTTCTAAGGCAATATTTTCACTGAGCTTTTCTTTTTTAAACCCAGAAAATATGTGTTGTTCACTATCCCTGCCGCCTGGTTGAATTCTCCCCCGCTAACGGACAACTAGGTGAAACGGCGGGAGCTCAACCACTAAAATTCTTAGGCATGCCCTCAGTCGGAAGTGGCATTCGAGAAACCGGACATAGTCGCCGGAACAACCACTCCCTAATATTCCTAATCTCTACGCATTTTGTAATTTTGAAATATTACTTTATTGATATAATTACTAAATTTACGTAGCAACTTTATTCATATCGCAAAAGCAACATACTCAACTGTCGCGATTTATGACAACGCAGTACATTATGTTCTGCCTTCTGCGTGACCCAAATCACGTATGTTCGATTAGTATTCGTGGCATTGTTTATGGTAATTTACGTAGAAATGAAAACTTTTCAAACAAATTAATGAAACAATGTTTTTTAAAAGAGAATAATTATTTACCTACTGGTATGTTGTAGACAATTTCTAAATCGTTACTATTGATAGGTACTTAGATTTAGAAGAATACAAGGAATACTCAGCCACGGTGGTCGTTAATAGGACAAAATCGATTTGTTAGGAAAACACATACCCCATTTTGAGCTTCAGTGTAATATCACTAATGACAATGTAGTCGTTGGTTTTTGTTATCTTAAAGCGGTTTAGTTAATGACTATCATTATTGTTGCCGCAGCTACGGGTACCACTGCGACAGGTGCTACGACCGCGCGACCTAAACGTGGTCATCGGCAAGAAACACCTGAAGGTCGGCATCAAAGGTCAGCCGCTCATCATCGACGGCGAACTCGATGCCGATGTCAAGGTCGAAGAGTCCACATGGGTGCTACAAGATGGACGCAACTTGCTTGTCAATCTGGAAAAGGTATGGGCACACGAATTGAAAATCGCACTATTACTAATATTATAAAGAAGTAAAGTTTCTAACTTTGTTTGTTGGAGGTAATCTTCGGAAATATTGATTCGATCATGAAAATTCTTTCAACTACGGGAAGCTATATCATGCTAATCAACTAATGCATCATCAAGTTGTATGATGTTGCTAATGAACTTCAGCCTTGCGATTCTGTTAAAATCCAGATCCGATTTCGAATTCACTCATGTGTCCGGATTCACGTCATTGAGTGTAGACATTCTATTGATTTCATTTTTTGTATAAAAGTACAAAAGAAAATTTATTGAATATACGTGTATTAGATATTCTATTCCTATGTCATTTCGAAATTCACACTACTTATGCCACGAACCAATTTAAGGTTGAGCGGATGCCGCTTTTTGAAGTGAATTGTGTTTTTATGGTTTGTATTTTTATGGACACAGAGCTGCATTGAATGGATAATCTGATCAAAGTAAATAATTTCTTTAATTTAGCATTTTCTGATCTAAATCTTTGAATAATGCAATATTTTTAACTTATTACTCAGTCAGATCGTTTGTCTTCTGTTGTACTTATAAGAGGTAATATATATTTAATTTTAATAAAACTCAAAAATTTATGCGTATATTTAGTTTCAAGGTACTATATTTTCGTATTCTAAATTCCCATCGAGTCGTTTTTCAGTCGAGGAGTAATGTTCAAAAATATGTTTAGCATGATAAAAGCTTTGTCTCGTTGGTATCTACGTAACTTTACAAATGCCATAACCCAAATCCATAATATGAATGCGCAAACTCGTCCGCGTACACAAACTACGTGATGCTGCAGGTACATCTATGCAAATAAATCGTAAGTTTACCTATTACAAATGAGAGTTTATTTTTTTTTGTCAAATGTCATAAATAAACCTTGTAACACTTTTGTGAAATTGCTTCGGATAATTATTTTAAACATAACTTTGTTATTACATGAAACGAACTGTTCTCGTAGATGCCTATTAAAGTTAATGATCAATTTTGCCGTCGCTAACAATGTTCTATGTTTATAGGTGAACAAAATGAATTGGTGGAGCAGGCTAGTCACAACAGACCCAGAGATATCTACTAGGAAAATTAATCCAGGTAAATAAAGACATGTTTTATATTTGTGACCCTCGGCTGCTAAAGTTGCATAATTCATTCTTAATAATTTTGAAGCTCAGCAATCAGCGACTGGAAAATTTACAATTTTATATCATTAAAAATATTTGTCATTATTTAACTACGAGATAAACATTTAAGTTTAATAATGTCAAATATGTTATTAAGAATCTTTAGTTTATTCTAAATTGTCCTTTAAGTTCTGAGCCATTAGGCTTCTTTCACAATAATATTATAACAGTTAATCATGCAGATAATAATTCATAATAAACGCTTATGGGTAAAGGTCTCATCTTAATGCTTATTGAATATAATAGAAAAAGACGTGATTTTTATATAATCGGTTTATTTATCAGTAGATTTGTTTGTGTAATATGTCAATGATGCATGTTGGATACAATTAAATTTGAATTTGTTTCTTTAAGAACCATCTAAGCTGTCTGATTTGGACGGTGAAACGCGTGGTCTAGTGGAGAAGATGATGTACGACCAACGGCAAAAGGAAATGGGCCTTCCTACCAGTGATGAACAAAAGAAACAAGATGTACTTAAAAAGTAAGTACATATTAATAATTAGACTTTATACTGTGTGAATAGGGATGATAACTAATTATTGTTTGTCTGTCGGGTAGATTACTAAAGATTATGCACGTATTTTTTATTTTTTGCATAATCCATTAATTACTGTAGTACATTGAGTTGAAATGTCATCATATCTTTGTACTATTGTATTAGCTAGATAATAAGATAAGTATATAATCACTCTAAACACTTCTATCAAGAGCATCCCTTGCACTAAGGATTTTTTTTTATATTATTTAATATCTTTGATCAACTGGCCTACAACCAAGTCTTTATAAATAAGTAAAATACTTATGTATAAGTAAAGGCTGGACTTTAATTATAATTATTACAGACAAAATAATATTTTGTTCTAGATAATTGATAGCTCTCTTTATCGTAAATAGTAATTGACCAGTTTTAACATGGCTTTGGTTGGTTCAAAATACGTAGGATATTCAAAGTTATTCAATATTTTTATAAAAGATTTTTGCTTATTATTAATGTTTCTTTTTATTTCTAGGTTTATGGAACAACATCCCGAAATGGATTTCTCTAAGTGCAAGTTTAATTGAAGAATTGTTTAGCTTTTAATTTTTATTCTACTGGTACTAATTTCAACATGTAGTTTTATTTCTCTCACCGAAATAAACTGTGCATTTTTATCAATGCAAAATTGTGTTCTATTAAAGTCATTTTTTAAATATGCGTTTGATTCATTTTAGTTCGTACTTTTCTCACGCTATTATTTCTAATTCTCAGCGTAAGTATATTCTTTTTCTAGGACAGATGAAGAAACGGACAATAACACATATATGATTTGCTATATGCTGTATGTATAGAATTCAGGAACCTCCACATTTCCGCAGGGAAGGAGTTAATAATGTTTTTATGAATGTAATGGCGTTTGGCTCTTCTTATCGCCTGGTTACACCTGTTTCTAGCATGTCTAAATGCCTCCCAGTTTGTATCGGTGCGATACCTTTATAGATCCGGAACGCTTTATTACGTCTACGCATCACAATGTGCACAAAAGGGGTAATCCATGGTGCAGGAGATCGTTTCAACATGACAGTCTTGACTGGAGCATGATCGTCGTAAAGCTTGAGGATTTCGTTATTAAATCTGGCAACCATTTCATTTACTGAGACGACATTGCATACAAAAGACAACTGCATCCCTCATAAGCGCCCCGACATCCAATCGTGCGAAATTCCTCATGCGAACCATCCTCCACTTAATTTTTGGGGCTTAACTTTATAGACGACAGAGATAACGTCATGTCTGGAAAAGCCTGGAGCAGATCTGACCATGTTTTACAACACGATCAAGTGAAGATATGAGAATATGGTCGATCCAAGAGTCATCAGTAGCAAGATTATGATGTGTCGGACTGAGAGGTAGAATAGCGAAGTTCGCGGACTCGATGATCGATTGAAACCTATTAGAAAATGGGGTATCCTTAATGAGTTCCGTATTAAAGTCGCTCATGATGATGTAATGTTCGTAATCAGCTGCATAAGAGTCAATGAGAGATTCCAAATCGGAAAGAAAAGGAATAGAAGGGGGACAATCACAGAACATAGAGAGAGATTAGAAGTATAATGATATTAATTTAGTATGGGAACCGAGTGTCGCCTCTCCGCACACAAATACAGATTAGATGAAATGATCATTTTGTTCACTACATGAAAAACCGCCACGCGATAGGTTCGCGATAACATAAACCAAATCCCAAAAAGATACTAAGCTAAGAAATCACACGATTAAAAACAAACTCTAATTCAACGTGATAATAAATAATTTACTTTAACATGAATGTTGAACTGTCACGTGGCTGTATATGGGGATACCAGAAGGAAAAAAATATTTTAAGATTATGCACATTTAAAAAAATTGGGGTCATCATTTTATGTGCGAACTATTAATATTAGATTTTGCTGTAACCAAGTGAATACTGAAAAATTAAGGCTTTTCCCTACATAATTTATTAAAATATCTTTTAAAAAACGCAGTACAAAAACTAAGAAAACTTAATGATACACTCTATCGTATGTCTGTGGAGTAATATAATTAAGCGAGGGAAAGTGTAAAAAAAAACAAAAATTAAGAAAACAACAGAATTTTTGTATTAATTACATTAAGCCTAATTTGTATTTTTTTCTTACTGGTATCATTCCGATTGTGCATATTAGTGATGTGACATATTAGTTGATAAAATAAGAGCTTTAAATTTTGTTATGAAACAGTTCAATGTAATTCAGTTCGACAATTTTCTACAGTGGTTTGATAGTAATTATTTAAAGCTTTATTCAAATAAAACGAAATACATAAAGTTTGCATTACCTAATGTGAGGCATGTTAATATACTTATAAATGTAAATAGTGAAAAAGTTGAGATGGTGGAATCGTCAAAGTTCCTTGGTATTTTGGTATATTGATAATTTGTCAAGTAGACTGAGTTCTGCAGCATTTGCTGTTAAGAAAATTAGACTCTTAACAAATGTTGAAACGGCAAGATTGGTATATTTTAGTTATTTTCATAGTGTAATGAATGACGTATAATCTATTGTTATGGGGTTCTGCGGCTAGCATTCAAGATATTTTTATTCTACAAAAGAGAGCTGTCCACGCTATATATAATTTACGGTCTAGAGAATCTCTCAGAGAAATATTTAAAGAAATAAATATTTTGACTGTTGCCTCTCAATACACCAATGAAAATATTATGTACGCAAGAAAACATTACGATTCCTTCACAAAAAAAAGTAGAAATAAAAATAAACTTGCCATTCCAAGTGCTTGTAATAGCCTTCTTGAATAAAGATATTTTCATTTCATTTCATAATAACTAATATGATCATTACACTAATAAATTGATCATAGCCATGTTTGTTTTACTTTATTATTCTAAGTTTTATATCTGTAATAATAGTAGTAGCTACATTATTAATTGCAACGACTGGACAATAAGGAATTGCTGGTCAAGTATGAGTTTGAAAGCCGTGACAAAAAAAGTTTGAAGATAGACACAAAAGCGATAAGTACGTACAAACGTCAATCTACATATAAAGTCACATCCGTTTGAGACATGCGTCTATAAACTTATGTGCAAATATGGAGCAACAAAAAAACTGATAAAAGCTGTTCTGTGGGCGGTTCTTTAAAGTGGCTTTCTTAACTCGATTTCTATAATAATAGTTTCCGATTATGAATCAGCATAATAAGGTAAATTAAATCGACGCCTAAAAATTAATTTTGTAAATTAAATTCACACCACCAACAATATTACGTTAGTTGAAAACATAATTTTTTGTTTGTATAGATATTATGTTGTTTTGAAATTCATTTGATAGGTTTAGGTCTAAAACAGATAGGGCAAAATTAATTATGTAAACAAGGCAATCCGTTGTAAAGTTATTAGGGAAACTGAAATATAAGTAATGCAAAATAAGTGAAATCCAGTTTCACCAGTTTCTAACAAGACCTATTAGGCCAACTCTTAGCTTTTCACGAAGTTGCGTTTAATTTATGTATTGTTCATAAAACGGTGATATACTTCGTAACTCAGATATTTATAGCACATCAGTATTTTTTAATATTTATCTGCGTGTAAATAATTAACTGAATCTTCGTAAAAAAAGTGCCTGGACAGTTCATTATTTCATTTGTTCAGTATCAGTTCATCTATAATTTTCCCTTGTAAACAGTATTTTTTAGTTTTATATAATTATGGCATATATTTATCGATAACGTTGTTATGAAATGATGAAAGAAAAGCTCTAAATAAATATGTTTTAGTTATCGATTACGATCCATATAATTAACAATACGATTCCGAGCAGCAGCAGCCTATCGGTACATTTCAGACAAATGGAGGCACAGCACTATTTTTTGCAAAAGTGCACAAAATGATTTACATTGCTGTTTAGTAATGGGGTCAGAAACATTGGTGTTGGTTTGAGCAATCAATGTATATTTTATTTAACATTGTGTCAAATTATTACGTTTTTTTATATTTTAGCACTAAAATTGTACTTATCAGTGAAAGGAAATGTTTGCATTAGTTAGATTGTATACTTTGCTTTGCTTTTTGCAAGTGATAATAGCACAAAACGGCATTTTTTATAGAAAAAATCTGTAAAATCACCACTCGACGATTGACGAACGACTGGCAAACATAAAACCGAGGAAAGGGCGTCATATGAGTAAAAGCGCATATGCCAGCGACGCGTGCCCCGCCCACTTACTACTTCTATTCTCTCTCTATGTTCTGTGGGGACAATACACAACGCCCAAAAGCACTTTGCACGTGAGAGTCGAAGGAAAATTAATACGATACAATCCATAGATCTTAGTTGTAACTTGCAACTAAGATCTAGTTAATGTGGATTGTCAAAGCTATGATCAAGGTTTAATTTGCTTGGAAACGATACATATTTCTATGACTAGCGATACGTATCGTTTTATTACATCGCTCACATAATACTTTGTCTATATGTCCGGTTTTTGTGTGCCTGGCCTAAGATTAACTATAGTTGAATTAATATAGACAATCTGGCTACCATCTACAACGACTCGACATGCCAACTTACAGCACACGTACGCTGAGGACTGACAAGATTTTAACGAAGTTGGAAGAAGCTATTAACAAGTTACACTAGGACATTATGCGTTACGCTAGGGTTATCTGAAGTCGGTGAACACGACACACACTCGCATACACTCACACACATATATTATCATATATTCGCTTATACACGCAGGAGAGAGTCCCACATAACCCGTGGAGCTCGCGCAGTGTGAAGCGGGTATGCGTAACACATTTCTCAGCGTCAAAAAAAGGGTTATCTGAAGTCCGAAGAGAGGGGAGGACTCGATAATCCTTGAATTCGGTAATTTGTCATATTACCGGGAGGGCGACCAACAGTCCTTAGGTGGTGTCGGGTTTATCATCCATAAATCCCTTGTTAACAACGTGGTTACCATCCGAAGTATGTTGACCAATGTAGCATTCCTGGTACTCAGAATATCAAACCGATTTTTGTTGAATTTCATATAGGTCTACGCTCCGACCTCGCCGCACCCAGATGACGACGTGGAGGCTTTGTATGAGTAGATCTCAAAGCCATGCATAGCTACAATACCCACCACACGCTTGTGATGAGGGAATTCAACGCGAAGTTAGGAAAACGTTGTGGTGATGAGTTAGGCAACGAAATGGCAGAGGCTGGATGCTGGCTGTCGTCATGGAGAGGGAGAATCTTTTTATTATGAACTTTTTTAGGAAGCCTCAGCACCGAAATTGGACCTGGATAAGTTTCGATGGCAAAATGAAAAATGAGATAGATTTTATCACGTTAACAAAAAAGCAAATATTCAATGAACTTTCTTTAATGAATGCCAAAACAGGAAACGATCTTTGACTTGTACGAGGCATATTGGATATCAACATCAAGCTTGAAAGATCTCGACTGATAAAATAAATACTCCGACCAATGGCTGCACAAATAAAAGTCTCCAAAGTGGTCGCCTAAGATTTGTCTATTGGACAAAGTCAACTGACGAGACTGAAATCTGACGATGGTAGCATTATTTCGTCAAAGGCCCTTTAACAACTAAAAAAAGTAAGGTGGCGGGTGATGACGAAATCATTGCAAATATTCTGAAAGCGGGCGGTCAAGAAACTTAATTCTATTCTCGAGGGTAGAACGCCTACAAAAGACCTTCGATCTTCTTCTAATAGACTACTTATGTGTCCTGCTCGTCACTGACATTATCCACTCTTCCTTTTTCGTTAAAGCCATTATCCTATGGAATGCACTCCCCACAGACATCAGAATGTCCGCCAGTCGGTTTGCTTTTAAAACCAACTTGCGCAATTTAATATTATATCAGGCAGAATCATAAAAATTGCTATCTCATTTCTACTAGGCATAGCATTTATAAGTATGTATTTGTATTTGTATTTATATTTATTATATTATATGTATTATGTTATATATAATATGTAGGGGAAGTCCGGGAGACTTGAACCTCTTTTTACTTGAATTATCATATCTTCGTATAGACTTGTTCTTGCATCATAACTTTTTAAATATTGAAATATTTAAAAAGTAAATTGCTAAGCCGATTTGAAGTAGAAATGGGAAATGGATCAACTCTCCCCACTATGAGGGACATATGATTAAAAGTCTGAGGAAATTCATTATCAGGGGTTTTAGTAATTTCTGTTTATTTTTTTAGTATCATCTTTCTATTAGTCTTTTGCGTAGTTTTGCTTTCATATATTTATTATTTAGAATTGATATTTATCGTTTTTCTCAAAAATAATGAAAAACATTCTAAATGTTATTTGCCTTCTGTTCACTTGTTTTGTTAACATTTATAATATTGAATTGAGTGCAAATAGTATTATGGCAGAAGAATCATCAACACATATGGTATAATTAACCACTGATGTCTTCAACAACGACATAAAATTTTCATTGCAGAAAAGGTATTCAATTACTGTTAAAAAAACATACTTCAAACTAGAATAATCAGCAAACACGATAAAAATTAAACACAATACTTACATCGATAAACACGGCCAGTATCTCAAAACTACTAATTATTTAAAATTTATTTTGTAGTGACCAAAACACTTTTCGCAACTTAAAAGCTAAACAAACCAGGCATTTTGTGCAATAGTGACACATACATTATTGGTTTTCCATACATTATCTACGACTGTGTTAATGTTTTATTAGCTTGCAATTACGTTGAATTTTGAGAAGTGGTTCAACTCTCGCATCTGGGCAAGTCTCCCGGACTCCCCCTATGTTTGTGTTATGCTTATTTTTTATATATTTTTTTCTCTCAATGATTACATATGCACTTGCTTTTATCGTTTATTTTAATCTCCACATAACCTAAAGGTTGACTGGCAGAGAATGCCTAAGGCATTAAGTCCGCCTTTGTACGATTGTGCATAAAGAATTAAATAAATAAATAAAATAAACGCCAAAAGCGTGGAGCAAGAGTGAGGTTGTCTTGTTTTTCAAAAAAGGTGATGAAACACTTGAAGAACTAAGTCGAGTTTGCTGTTATTCATAATTACCATTTATTTTCTAGGGTCATTACGAATCCCCTCGCCCGAAGGTGAGACGACTTCCAAGCTCCCGGACAAGCCGGTTTCCGAAAAGGCTAAAGTACCGTAGACCACATTTATACGCTGCGACAAGTTATACAGAAGACAGGAGTATAATCAGCCTCTGCTTGGCGTTTGTGGATTACGAGAAAGCCTTCGATTCGATCGAGACATCAAAAGTGTATTAATATATACGGATATGCTACTAAATCGGTCCCATTACAGAACCAGAGCTCAAATCAATCCAATTGCAGCGACAAGGAGATGTTATTTCTCCAAAACTATTCACCGCTGCGAAGTAGGAATTCAAGCTTCTGGACTGGAATGTATATGGCATATAAGGTGTAAACACACAATTGTTGTATAAACTTTTAAACTTTCGCATTGCATTATATGTAGATTGTGTGAAACGTGTATGTATTAATGTGATAGATTGATAGTTAGGTTATTTTACCTACCTATATTTCCCGACCGCCGTTTCGACCGGGTAACACTGTATCTCAGCCGTATTATGGTGGTCCAGCAATCCCGATAAGTTTTTTTATCACTGGATTCCAAGTTGGTGATAATTTAAAAACATATTCACGATTGAAATTGCTGGGATGTGTTTTATGTCATTTTTATTTCAATTCTATACTTGGAAACTTTATAGCAATATAGAAAACGATCCTAAAAAACATAAAAATTAGAAAATATTGAGGATTGCAAATTTCTTAATAGGTACATTAGAGAGTTAAAGAATACAGATATTTTGACTGACTACTGAATACTGAATCGATTCTGAATCGATTTTTTGGGCGTTGAATAAATCGGTAATCGTATATATTGACATCCCTAAGTACACGTTGACGTTTGTTTGACTGGCGACTGTATCTGTTAATTCGATTTCAGTCTTTTCATTTTATTTACAAATTGTAGAGATTTAGCTTACATATATTGATATGCGACCAATCCGTTACCTGTATAAAATCACAAATAAATAAAATATACTCGATTGATATATAGCTATATATTATTGAGGCAAAACTGCAAGATGGTACGGACAGTATTTTCGCCTGAATATTGTTTACAATATCTGGAACAATATGCATCTAAAGAAATCTTTGTTGTTGGATTAATTTTAGGACAGGTAAGTTTTATTTCCAACACGAAACAATTAACTGTTTGAACCCAAATGATGATATTTACTTAAATGTCATGTTACAGACTACAAATGAAAAAGAAAACGTTATTTATTTGGCTCGTACGCCAGAAGAAAAGAATGCAGATACTGTCTCGGAGTCTAGTTATGTTTCAGATAAGACTGATATAGCAAAGAATTTACTTAGTGTGTCAGAGGCGTGGGTAGCAGACCACGCAAAACATGTGACAAGAATGCTACCTGGTGGCATGTTCGTTCAAGGTATAAAAAATTATTTATTAGATAGTTACATGATATAGTTTATATATGATAAGTTAAGATGGTTTTTCATTAGACAAGTATGCCCAAGGACAAGTCTGCAGACATGCCTGCCAGACCACATCACTATGTAATGACTGCAACGGTCATACACTAGCCAAATATGGCCGTTCTATACTAAAGTAAGTTTGGTAGGCATGTCTGCAGACTTCCCTGCGGGCAGGCCTGAGTAGTAATGCCCTGCTTAACCTGATTGCACAAAAGAAAGTTGGTTTTGACTTGTAGCTTGAGCTCCAGCATGTAACCTAACCTTGTTGTAATGTTGGTGAGATACCATGACATTATTACAATTTCTTTTAATATATGCCTTATAGGTATTTTTGTAACAAGTGATGAAGATATCTTTGAGGACCCTAATCAATTTAGTAAAGTGAAAGAAATTCTCCATTATATTCACAAGGTATTGAATGTGAACCAGTATATGTATGGAAACTGCCCATATACAAATGAAAGGCTTGTCTTGCATATGTCGACCAGCACAAAAGTGTTGAATTGTAAATCAGTGGAGGTTGGTGCACCTAACAGGAGTACTGTGATAAAACCAGTGGAATGGAAATTTGTACCGAAAATACAACAATGGCAAAGATTGGATTGTTATTATGAATTTGATGAAGTATATCCTGTGATTGTGAAGAAAAGTGGCATATCAGTTAAACATCAATTTCAGGTGAATCTAGTTCAATATCTTTATTTCTTATAATTAATATTTAGTGCAAAAATATATTACACCATACAATATATTATAATCATATTGTCTATCATCTAGATCTGCTGTAATGAAATGATGTAATCAGTTATTTTAACCTTTCAAAGAATTTAAAATCTGTAATCTTATATTAATATGTATCTTCACTTTCAGCAAATATTAGAATCTGCACACAAGACAATAGAATCAAGTGTGATGTTTATAGATGGAGAATTGAAGGATGGAAATGAAGCTATAGAACAAATTATTAAAAAGAAGAAAACAAAAACTAATTCCAAGAATACACAACAAGATATACCTAAGACAATGCAAGTTTCATTATTTGTACCTTTTGTGAGTATCAATAATAGCCAGCCATATAAAATTTATTTATTTTTTGCATATGCTTAAATATTATGTTTAAAAATGATACATAAGGTGTTATGTTTCAATATAATATCTTCATATTTTTGTGGCTGTGGTAATCACCAGAAAACAACTTTTCAGTAGAAACTTAAATTAAAATTTTGCATTTGTCACAAACTTGTTCTTATTGTTTTTTATGGTGCATAATAATAAAACATTTTTTTTCTAACAAAAACTTATAATTTTAAAGTTTGCTGGTGAATACACCTCATAAAGTAAAACATGTAAGTTTTTTAGGCCTCATAATCTATGCCATGACAACTACTTCTGGGGTAGACTTAATGTGGATTATACCTTAACATTTTATTTTGGAGTATTGTTTATGTCCAATACTTTAATGATGTCTAATAATAATTGTTTATATATCCAAATTACGAAAAATTTTGCATTACTAGCATTAAAATTTGGTCATAATCACCATAGGGATGACTGATACATAGGTGAAAAAATTATATTTAGTTCATCAGTCAGATAATATTCTTTTACTTCACGGCTTGCTATATCACAGTTTTGCAAAAAATGTACAAAAGCGTGATGTCATGTGACATTTTTAACTCGATGTTTCGCCGTAACAAAATGATTACGCAAAAAGAAAAAATATGTGTATAATATATTTCGACATTTACCTGACCAACAAACAAAATAAATTGGGCGTCATCCTTATTGTTTTAAGAATTTTAAAAATATCTTTTGATTGCGCAGAGAAAACTGAATAAGATGGCATCAAACACTAATTTTGGAGAAAATGGTGGATACGCCCTTTGAGCCGCAAGGTATCGATATAAATAAATACTGAAAAGAATAATCATTTTCATTTCTAGGAAAATACCTTGCCTGAGACTGTTGAGTATTTAGAATGTGATGGCAGTATACATTTTAGTGGTGTGGTATCATCAAGTGTATTCATGTGCCCAAAGGCCACAATAAGCGAAGCCATTGTGGCAGTCAAACAGGACATCATACGATCCCTTGCTTCACGATTTACAATGCACTGTGATGCTTTGATAGATGACAATTTATTGCCTGAAGGTGAGATTTCTTCTTAATGATAGCAAAGATGTTTTTCCAAAAATAAAAATATCAATTTTGCTAAGCAACTATTACAAAAAACAGTATCCCGTTGCACAATTGTCCATTAAATTGTGATTAGTTTATAGCAACATCAGGAATCAAATTTTCAAATTTAGAATTTTCATTGAGCTTGAAGTCTTAATGGATGTTTGTGTAACTGTGTATATCTTTAAAAATTGTGAATTTGAAGAATCGGCTGTTGGTGGGTTATGTACTTTCTTTTTGACACCATTATAAAGTATTGATTTCTTGTAGTTTATAATAATTCATTTACATAAATGGAACTTATAAATGGTTTCAACACGTTTGTATTATCTTTTATTGACGGTTCGGACCCTTGATAGTTTCCTTGGTCATAAAAGACTAAGGTGTTGATTGTCTTTTTACCCGACTGCGCGACGCAAAGGAGGGTAATGTGTTTATCAGTCTATGTATGTTTGTTTCTATGTGGCGTTCTAGAGACCAAATGCGTAGGCCGATTTTGATGATTTTTACGTCAATCGATTTGTCTTAACCTTGCGAGTGCCGCTATGGTGAATTTTGAATACTTTTTAAATTCACCATGGAGACAACCAGACGCCATATTGCCAAAATGAAAAAAAAAGCAATGAACTATGTGAAGTGGAGTGTCTTTGAATAGGTACTTTAAAATCATCTTTAGGTTCGTTTTATTATTTTTTATTTTAAATAATAGTTAAGGATATATAACGATTTAAAGTTGTTTAACAAAACATTCTCGCTAATTTTCTTACTTATTGATTTAAGTTTTTATTTAAAGTATAAACGATATACAAACAAAAAAAAAACATGAAAAAGCATGAAGAACAAATATTTTTGGTAAAAAAATTAAGAAATTAAGGACTGGATGTAGCTTTAAGCCGAGTTAGGTCTCTAGAGGGACTAATCATCAGTAGTTTAGACCACTGCAAGTTAGTTAATAATCCCCATGATATTAACTCCCTCAATGAAATGACTAGAATGCGAAATTTATCATCTTATAACGAAGTCAACGAATCGTAACTAAAAAGTATAAAATTAAAATAAATAATTGAATTTTAAAAAATACATGAAAATATTTACTTGACTAAAAACTAAAAAGAATAAAACAAGTCCAGTAGTTTAGAATTCTGTTAAGTAATACAGAACAGAATGACTCATAGTTGGGGCCCCTTGGCAAGATTCGATTGGTAAAATTTGAATTGGAAATAAAATTTTCTTTAAATTATTTATTTTTATTGAGAGTACAACTAGCTTAAAAAAATATATTTTCTAGAAATGTTAAATTAATTAAATTTAATAAATGCAAAAATTTCTATAAAATAAAAAAAAAATATTTTTAGTGTATCCAATGGTTATAGTTTTGAAGGAAGCTATATTCTTAGACAATATGCTTGTGTCCTACAAATGAAAATACAGGATTCTATTATATATTCGGAAAATATGAACCATTTTAACTTATAAATATTTAACAAAATAAATTTCATGACACTAATTTGGTAAATATTACGCTTTTAAAACTTGAAACAGTAGGAAAAATATACCATAAAATATTGCTAAAATACATATGGCATTAAATTATTTACATAAAATGTTACAACTTTCATTATGACAGTTATCAACATAAAAGCACAAATAACAAAGATATTAAAAATATTGCCCTGTCGCCCACACGTTTTTCGCTAATCGTAGCACCGTGTGACGTCACTTAGTGCCTTGAATTTGCAGGGAGCGTTTTTGGCCGACTAGCAGCAGTTTAACAAATATAGCGACGGATCTCCGAAAACATTAATCGCAGATATGCTGTTACTTCTACATTATTTCTCAGATATTAATTGAAAAAATAATAAAAAAATGTTGTCAACAACCTTATGTGAACACGGAACCTGTAAAGGGTCGAAACGTCAATAATAATACAAATGCTATGAAACCGTTTCAAAGTTCTTTCATTTAACGTTATAAAGTTTTGCATGAGTCGTGGGAATTTATTAATTCCTTTTCTTAATAATAATGACTTTGTTCACAGAGAAAGTTTGCTTCAACGAGCCACCTCGACGTGTTTTAGTACCAGTCGGATCGATTTACCTATGTGATTATTTGTTTCCTGGTGAATCACCCGCGGAAGCCTTGTTGTCTGTACGTGAGCTCCTGGATCTGCAAATAACTGAGGCAGATGTCATTTGTGATGTCGAGACACCAGCGGGTGAGCAAAAAAATATTTTTTCTGGATTTGAAAATCTTATGCATTGGTCTTGCTTTACTTTATTGTTATTTTCTCGAAGTTGCTTAATAATTTGGTCTTGTCCTATTTGTAATTTTGATTGTCTTAGTTTCAATTATACATTTATTGTTATGGTGATTGGAGTAGTGAAAAGTTTGATATTTTGCATTGGGTAGCAGTAATATCACTGCCGACATAAACAATATTTTAAACTAAAATCATTTTTCGGAAATAATCTTATCCATGTTCTTCTTTCTATAAGCATTTATGATGTCAAGTACCAAAAGTCAATGTAATATAACTAGAGCGCGTATTTGTTAGTTGTGTTGATCCATTTATTGATTTTTAAGTTCCTTAAATTAATTACAATATATTGGGTATGTACCGAAACGGTAAATTGTTAAAAATATAACGTGTTTATTTTTTTGTTAATTATTATTTAATAACTATCAACAATCTGATGGAAATAAAAAAAAAATGTTTTGCAGACACGTCAGAGTTCGATGCGTTAGACAGAGATGCGAGTAGTGAAGAGTTGCTGGCGACTCCCCAAGAAGCGAGCCAGTTCATGTATATCACGGGCATATGCTTCGCTATGCTGGTTCTAATTGTGTCCATAATTATTCACTATTACGATACAATCATGGATGTACTCCGTAAACTCCTTAGTAGAAAATATTATTGATTTTTTGTAAGAGTTACTTTTAGCAATCCTTAACTTTGATTGATTTTTCTAAGTGAATGTTTTTGTTTGTTAGGAGCAAATGCAATAGGGTAGATGGGTAGCAAAGTATGATTTATGCTTCTTTATATAATATTACAAACTGTTACAGTTTTGTGTAAGTTTATTACAAATCTGACATATGGTGTAGTTTGAACTTTTTTTAATTCAATTTACTATAAAAATTTCTTAATCAAAGACATATTATTAAATAAAATGGCTGACTATGAAACAATATTAAATAGATTATGATTGAAACTGACAAAACTACTCAAATTATTTATTGCGTTGTAAGTAGAGTTAATAATCGATTGCAGAAATTTTATACTTTGGGCTAACTTGTTATACTAATGTGTACACAGAACAGGTATGCAAGACCTGTTACCACATTACTTCAAATTAACTTAATTAATTTTGAACTATGTAATAAGGTCTATAATCAAATGGAGGAAAATTTTTATAATGATATTACACAATTTTTATAATTCTATGAGAATTTCCATGAATGAAGAATATTGGAATGGGTACACAATATCCTGATATCTGCGGATTGCTGGATCGGACTATCTTGCATATGTTTCAAATATTGTCTAATTGCCTATTTTATTATGAATAAGTGCCATTCAATGGTATAACCGTCACATTGTTACATTTCAATTCATTTCTTATATTGATGATGAATGATGTTTAAATCTTATTAAATTGCAAAATATATGTATTCCAATAACTGTTTATCAGATCTTTTATTTACGTAAAATAAAAATCTACAATGACCTTTATAATAAATATTTGGTATGTGTTAAGCCTGGGATGGCTCTTATTAATTGGAATAAATTTTAAATTGGCGTTTTGGTATGGAATTAGATATTTTCAATCGACATAAAACCTTCATTTTGTGATATTTTTTAGTGAAACTTTTCACGTAATACCTATGAGGTTTTTGTATTGTACAACATTCAATTTTTGAGTTACAATTGTTTTATATACTTGGCTTACAGCCAGTTGCACAAACGTCTATTAAAATTCTCATTAGTTTAAAGCGATATTACCGAAAAAAACTAACATTCAGTAGAGCTTAAAGTCGTCATTAAACCTTTATGGAAGTTTGTCTAACTAACCATTAGACGGTAAAGACGTTTTTTCGAAAATCCGCTTATTTTTTTAATACAAGCCAAGACGTGGAACTAATGCGGCAGAAAAGGCTCTGGTAAATATTAATACTGATTTTGTTTGGAGAGAATCGTGGCATCTTTGGTTTAAACGCTTTCAGAATGGCAACTTCAACTGGAAGAACGAACTACGCGGAAGACCACTTAAACATTGAATTGAAGTTGGTGGAAGATGATCTTAGTCAAACTACCCAGGAATCAACGCCATGGTTTGAACTAAAGTAACTATATTGACTAATACTACTAAAAAAAGTATTAAAAATGGGTGCTTGATTATTTGACTTATCTGCAACAAAAATGCGTGTTGAAAATTGCATAGGTTATCGTAAACAATCGACCTTACACGTGATGTAAGGTCGATTCTTTTCGATAACCGAAAACGAAAACTGCCATGGTCGATACTTACTACTACTCTTAGCTATAACTCTTCAATATTATTTTTATATGATATGTTTTCTTTTTTTTACATATCTATTTAAACATGGTTTATTATAATTTTCGAAATAGATTTGTTTGGCTAAATTTGACCTTTTTGGGCAAATTTTAATTTAGTTAATATAATTCAGAACACTACAATAACCAAAACAATTGGTTAAAAAAATTTTTAGAAGAAAACGTATTTAATTGATTAAATCAATAAAATGTTTTATACATTTGGATACAGTTATAGCGAGAAAGTTAGGATGGCCAAAGGCCAGTGCCAATAAAATGTAATGGTAATTGTTTGCTGTTGTTAACTAGGTCACATCTAAGTATATATTTGTTAGGTGTGGTCAAGCAATAAGAGCATATGTTTACTATACCAGACTTCGAAAAATGACGGCGAAGCTAACAGTGAAATAATACCGAGTGCACCCATGAATAGACTGAACATAACGGTTTTTAAGGTCTAAATTCGCCCCTGGCTACTAGGAAAACCTTTTTCCCTATACCGGGATTCCAGTATTAGTGCAATTTATTTTTAAGTCCATTAAATAAAATTAAATTCCTGACTGAAATAGTGTCATTGTATTTAAATGTCAATGTTTGAAATTTCAAGATGACTTACATCATTCATTTACACTATATAGTTAAATGCCTAAGAAATGGTTTCCATATATTTCTGTATTGAATCACGATAAATATAGTAGTTCTAGTATTGTTATGGAGAATACTGATTTAAAAAAAAATGATATTGATTTTTCAGCGCCATCTATCACAGAGCACAGAAACTAACATGCGTGAGCGGTGTTTATAAGTTAGTTAATAGTTTTATTCACGCGTTCAATCTATAGCGGTAGTGGGCCTCATATAGATAAACGCATGAAAGAGAGGTTCGATTCACACATGCTTATTTCATTGATATGGAGATGGTCATTGGTTGTATCAGTATGAATGTTATCTGGTGTGCGTTTGTGTTTAGATTGAAGTCAAATTCCCATCGAACATGTGAATACTATGACAGTGACAATTGAATAAGGCGAGTTTCGACAGTTGCACGATGGTGTTGTGAGTTTATGGTGTTGTTTAGGATGTATTTTTTATATTTACGCTATGATTTGTGAAAAAAATGTACGTAGTTAAGATGAATTTGGAAGGTTGTTATTGCATTGCGTGATTAATTAATTCAACGAACCGGTTTTGTTGCGGCGAGTGGTTTCTAACGTGATATAGCGGTAAGACGAGACTTTTGTTTACAATGGCGTTTTCACTTAATAAATTGAAGAATATCTTGAATAACAACCGGGATAGTCAGTTGGCGGGGAGCGGGAGCTTGGAGCCCGAGATCGGCTTCAAGTTGTCTTTGCATCCGGTTAGCAAGAATTTATTTGTTACCGTGATTGGAGCCCGTCATTTACCATCCTTATTTGGACTCAGTCGCGCCCATGGATACCTCGTTAAGGTGAATACTAATGTTATTTATTTATCAATGGAATGCACTAGTATTCCGATAAGGTTTACAACCGAACAGTTGTATATACTTATATATTTGATAACAGGTACAATAGGTGCATATTATGTAAAAGTGTACAATAATATTTCTTGATTGAAAGACTATGTGGTATTAAAATGCTTGCTACTTTTGAGTATACGCTTAAACTTTCCGTTTATTCCCGATTATCTCCATTATCATTGTATCTTGCTAATCTTCAATTGGAAGATTGCAGGGTTGAGTTTTCTTGCGGCTAATAACATTTTTAACTGATGTTTTTAATGCCACTATTTACATAAAGACAATTAATTCTAGCACTAGCTTCAGCACCAACTAGAAAAGTAATTTCCTTATTTATATTTTAAAGGTATGTTCATACCCGGTAAAAAATGAAAAGCCAATCTTATCTACCTATTCCTAAATCAGATTTTTCATTAGTTACTCCTCTCTGGCATTGTACCTACCTACCTACAATTATTATTAACCCCAGAGACGACCGACTTAGGCTGCAGCCTACCGTACGTAGTTAGGTAATTATGTACCTACATAATTATCTTTTGCTTCCTTGATGTTTCATTACTATTTTTACACACGATGGCCAGTTTTTATGGTTTCTGTCTGACATTACCCACCGATAATAGGTACGCGATTAATATACAAACAGTAGGTATCGTCTAGCTGCTGTATTTACTGTGTTTAGTTTATAAATGTTTGGATTTAAAATAGAGCCATTTCGCCTGTTCGCGTCCATCGCCCAGTTCGCGTCCGTTTGAAGGATCTCCTTTTGAAAATTCTTGAAAATAATAACTAGCACACCAGTAATACTCTACTAAAAGTCATTACCGCCAATACCCTTTTAAATAAGAGGCAATAACGCATAGACAAATGTTTCGTGCGTCCAATCTATCCTGTTTAGAAAAAATATTAAATGGCTACTGTTCAACAAGAGAGTGCGGAAACGCGCAATATTGAGAAAAAAAAAATAGTGTGTAGCCACTCGTTTGCCGGTTAGTATTTTAACGTTTTATATGAATTTTAGGATACATTGCCGTTTCTAGACTTTGACTGTAACTCTGAATAAAAAAAAGGAAAAATATTAAGTTAACATTAAGGTAATATTAAGTGAAAATAAGGTGGACGCGAATTACTACAACGAATTTACAAAACTTGCATTTTGCGTCCGCCATGGACGCAAATTATAGGCAAATTATAACCTACTGGATATAAAGTTATACCATGCGTCTATTTTTTTCCTTAAATACATTTCACATGATTCAAAAATATTTTAAATTATATTCTATATTATCGATCCATTTTAGAATGAAATGAACAATATCTTAAGTTCTTATTTTTTTCTGTCTGAGATGAGTTTTACGGAGATAAGAAAGAAAAGAGAATGTACACAGAAAAAGATTTTAAAAAGCATTAAACGTAATTTGTGAGAAGTAAAAATTTATAAGACAAATATGCTAAAATAAAAGAATTATTGAATACTCTTCGTTGATCTGATCGCTCAGATCAAAAGTGCTTTGAAAATTTTTTGGCCAAATCTCATGTAAGAACGCGGAAGGCATTAATAAAGCCAGAGCCCAAGTCACAGAAGGGTCAATTAGATGCTGGTTTAGAGAATTAGAGGAGTATTGGGACAGATACACTAAAAATATATTTTGTGTGAATTAATAAAAATTTTCGATGAAAATCATTAAGCTCGGTAAAGGAACGTAGGAGTAATATTTTTAAGATAATTTTAAAGTAATATTTTTAAATTCATTATTAAATATACTGTTTTAATTAAACTAAAAATAAACCTTGTTTAGTTCTATTACTAATGAGAAGAATAAATAGGTTGTTTTATTTCCTTTCGAGTGATTTATTAATTATACTTGGAAATGCGCCGAATAGTGGTTTTACCTACTAACCAAATACCGAATAATATTCGATTTATTTTTTACCGAACCGGGTATTCGGCCGAATTATTCGATTTAACATTTCATTGTTTTTATTGAGCCAGTGTTTCTAAGTGCTACTTTTAATATAGCGTATGTATTGCGAACGTTTATTTCAGTAACAAGGAACCTATATGAAGAAAAACCCAACAGATTTATCGGAACAGAGAGTTGATATTTCTGCACCATTTTTACCATTAATTATAAATATAAGAATAAGTAAATATTTTTACTTATCTTTTTTTTATAGTCACGATAGTGTAGTTTTGGCATTTGAAATTAAATTGATTTATTTTATTTAATAAATCTAACATAAGTATTGTTTTTTAGTTTTAAACCGTGTCGTGTAGCTAAAAAAAATAGAAATACTAATACGAACCGAATTTAAAGAGCGAAAAAGATTGCGAATACCAAAGGATTATTACAAGGAATATTCGGTGCATCTCTAATTTTAATAATATTGATTTTTAAACAACAAAGAAATTATTATAATTCTATCTTTTAAATATTATCCCTGCATTCCTTTTCTAAGCTGGTGGACGCAAAATGGTCCAAGGGTGGACACAGTTCATATTTTGGGACGCAAAGTGAGTAAAACGGCTAATTCCGAAGTTTCTCTATTTAATTAAAAAAAAAACTTAAGATGTTTCGAACAAAACTGAATCTTAACTTTAAAAAAGACTATAACGAATATATTACATATTTTTTTCATTGTAATTAGTATGGGGAATATTTATATGCATCTTCAAACTTGTCAACTGCACTAAATGGACGCTAACAGGCGAAAAGACCCTATGTCTGGTTTTATGAAAAACCCCGGGCCAGATGATAAAGTGATAGTTATAAACTACGTTTAGTTTATGTGTATCTGAGATTACGTACAATCAACAGCACGTTAGTTTATTCAAATCTCATATTTCTCACCTTGATTTTAAACCATTATCCTTTAGAGATAGCGGTTAAAATCAACTGCGGAAATTTATTAGGTATATTGTGATAACCTGACTTGCAGGCACCTGAACAACAGTCAATAGCACGTGAACTTATACAAATTGGTCAAAACGGTACAGATGAAAATCAATTTCTAATATTTGACACCGAGATTGCTGCTGTGTGCATAGAATCATATTATTACCGATTCACCCGTCTAAATTACTACCTATGTCACACGCATATGATGTTAGTTTTCTGTGGATGAAAGAATTTTCAAACAAACACAGAAACTTTACGTCTTATAATTTTAGATAAATAATAATACCTTGTCTTTAACAGCTAACATAAGCAGTCGATAATAATAAAAAAAAAACATATTTGCCACAGACTAATTCCAATAAATTCTATGTTTTTTGATAACGCTGTGCTCTCGAACATTCGTTACGTTAATGAGACTATTGATAATATTAACTCTATATGGTATTTACGTTATGCCGTTGATTATCGTCAAAAATACGTAAGCTTAGTGGCCACACTAGATTATCGCTATAATTAACGAACGCCATTTCACGTTAGTGTGGCTATGATATTTCAATATCTTGAAAGATCGCAAAATTCTTCATTTTAATTATAACATTACATGAAAAGTAAAATCACATCTCCGTTTATCACTGACGACCTCCGTAGCCGAGTAGTTCGCACGCTGGTTTCAAGGTGTCGCCATCTCTGAGGTCCCGGGTTCGATTCCCGGTCGGGTCAATGTAGAAAATGAACTTTTCTATATTGACTCGGGTCTGGGTGATGTGGTACCTTCGTTGTCTCAGATACTCCATAATACGGGGGCTTTAGCTACTCATCTTGGAATCTGAGCAATGTATGTGATGTTGTTAAATATTTATTTATTTATATTTATTTAATTTTTTCTTTAAACCTTTGGAGATTTTTGGGGTTTAATAATAATCTTCAGCTCGAGATTTCCTTGCCTTATTGTTCCTTATTATCAATGCATAACGAAACTAAATTTTCTCTATGTTACGATTTTTTTCTCATTGACTTTATTGAGCTATAAGGTCACTTTGAATTGATTTGATTATTTCAACCCAAACAACTTTTGAGTAGTTTGGGTGGTAGACTTTGTTCCAATACACTAATTTACACTAGGACAGGTTGAAAGTGACATTACCCTTCACTATTCCCGCTTTCCCCGAACTTTTGACCCACAGTCGTGCCTTAGGTACTCCAAAAAATCAATTCGAGATCAAAAATGCACAATCATGAGCTTAGTATTCAAATGTTAACAGAAAGAACTGATAGAAGTTACACATTTAACTTTGAGTCATAAATTAATCCGATTTGGATTTTAAGTCCTTTAGTATACCTAGAGTTACTGAGGTGCATTGGTTAGTTAGTAGAAACGAGGTTGAATTCGTAGTTGAATCCCATCTACCCATAACTCTAATAATGGCAACCCACTCGTTCTAAAGGTAGTTAGGTAGTAGATGGTATTTATAATAGTTTGTTCTTCACTAAATATTTGGAAGAGAATAAAAATATTTAACAAAGTAGACGACATTTTCAAGTAATATGTGAAAGAGAAAACGCTTCTCTAAGAAATAGAAATCTTGTTAAACTACGTAGTTAGTAAGTACATGTATAGCTTATAAGTCTCCTAATTAACATTCATTCATACCTTGTGGATGTCTGAGATTCTTGGCCCATGTTGTTCTCACAGGAATTTTGATTAAATTATTTGTTCATTAACATGTCAGCACAGAATTTCATAATTACCTACTTAGCTATCAATATCAATCTCGTTTTGTTTATTAAGTTTTATGATTTGTTTATCTGATGTAGGTAAGTACTAACGACAAACATTTTTGGGATAAAACTCCTATGTATAATGCAAATAGTAACCAGAAGCTAACCTACTAAAAATTCCATTAAGATTATTTTATTTAGAATAGTGGAAGCCAAAAATCCAAATTGAGATAAATATCAATTCAGTCTTGAGTTGACAGTCTATAAGAGGTCGTATAAAACTAATTTACTAATAGACCGTGAAAATAAAAACTTAATACGTAAACTTTAATTAAAAATGAGAAAACTACAGCACAAAATGTGTAAGGAGAATTGAAGCGCGCTCGCTTTAAGTAATTACTACCGTCGTAGTAAAATACTCTGCTGCCGTTGTTTTATTCTCCCAGAAAGGCAAATGGCTAGATGACGTGACAGGGAATGCGGGCGCAAAGTCTGAATAGTCCCCCAAAAATCTGATGACATCACAAATGACAATCTGATGAACTCCCAAAATTTCAACAGCGCGTCATGCATGTCCAACGAAACCAGACGTTTCGTTTTTTTGGTTGTCTGTCCCGACGTCCCCGAACCCCGGGACGCAAAACTGTTATGTATAAATAAGTAGTGTATGTTTATTATATTTTTTAAATACCAAATCACTACAACATGTCCAAGTCATAAGCATTACGCGATATTAAATAATCAAGTATAGGCTTGTGTGTCCTACGAGTGAAAAAACATGAAAATGCAGGAAAATACTGCTATACCTCTATTATCGGAAATAATAAACCATTTTAATTTATATATATTTAACGAAATGAATTTTATGACACTAATTTAGAAAATATTACGATTCGAAAACTTTAAAAAGTTGGGAAAAATTACCACAAAAATTTGCTAAAATACAAATGGCATTAAATCAGTTAAAATTTTAATTAAAACAGTTATAAAAACAAACGCATAAATAACAAAGATTGCGCACGTTTTTCGTTACCGTAGCAGTGTGTCACTGAATTTGTAGGGTGATCTTTAAAACTACACAATGAAGACCCATTGTGCAGTTACCCCAATGCGGTTATCAGTAATGAAATAATGAGAATGAACAGAGTGGCTGAAGAAGAATGTTGTATATGTATAATACAGGCATAACTCACAAACCTTCCACGAGGGTGATTTGTTTGTTTGTATCGAATATACTCCGAAACTACTGAACCGATCTTAATATACTTCACGGGTAATAATAATATTTTTTTATTTCGGACATCCAAGATCTATATTATTGTTAGTATTAACTTAACTTCTGTTAACTGTAGACACACTCAAATAACTAATGGTAATGTCGAGGGAAACTTGCTTAAAATTAATAAATCGAAATATAATTCATACGATCCAAACTTTATCTTTTAACTGAAATAGGCGCCTATTTAATAATTTGTTTCAAATATCAATATTCGTTAGACGTAATAGTTAATGACTTTGCCTGATTTGAGTTGAAGTAGTTTAAACCTTCAAAAGATTTCAATTAGCATAATAAGAATACAAACATGCGAAGGTCTTCAATTAATTGGAGGGATATACTCGTGTGTTTGTTTTGTAATTAAGCATACTAATGCAATTCTACCCTTTATTCAGCTATTTATGCGCAAATTAACTGTATTAAGGATATTTTTGAAAAAAGGAAGTCCTCGTTCACGTCGAGTATTGGACGAGTAGCCACTATCTACCTATCTACCTAGCGTTTTAGCCGTGACAGTGTAACAGACAAAACTTGCTTTTGTCTGTCATCAAGCATCAGTTACATTAAGCTCGAGACGCATTAACCACACTTTAGCCTTGACCTTTGGTCGGTCCTAATGGAGATTCCTGCTCGGATCCGTGCATGAGGTGATAAGCTACACGTACAAAAGCTAAGCGTAGCTAAAAGTACTAATAATTGTCATTTGCTCGACGCTTAGACGCTTTTATAAAAAGTCAGCCACAATTTCATAGCAAAGCCCAGGAAAAAAAACTAGCCGACAAAATTGCACTAGGACAGGTTTATTCTATTCCTTGGAAACAATCAATATATGTTAATGAGTAATGCTCATTTAATGTTAAAACAAGATTTAAAACACTTATTTATCCTGCAAATAAATCCATAAATTATATTAATTTTCTAACTATTTTATCCACTACTTTATACGTGAAAAAAAGATGGTCACGAATGATCGCGCACATTATATTCAAATAATACAGCACAGCTACATTTTTGCAAACCGTTGGAAACCGGGGAAAACTAAGACTTGAAAGAGTATTACTATTATTTCCAGTTTCCCATGACCTGGGGAAGTGCTGTCTTCTTGCTTAATTAAAAAATGTAACAGAATATTAATGAAATTATGTGATAGAAATATTAATAAAAAATTAATGGCATCAACCATTAGGGGATATGTAATTTATCTTATCAAAAAAAATCTAATAATAATAGTCTTTCGGAATCCGGCTCTTGGGCATTAACCGATTGAGCTTGTCCAAGACACAAAACTGTCATATTTTTGTATATTATTAATTTCATTCTAGTTTTCTGAAAGATATTTATCATAACAATTGATTTAGAAATTCAAATCTTGAAAGAAAATATGTTGTGTAAATTCTTTTGTTATATGATCTTTATTACGTGCTTGCTTAGACGATATTAAATGTGTTCAATTTGATCTACCCTTTGATGGATGTGTGAATATTAAAATGATAGTTTCTCAAGTTCGATCCAAATTCTTTGGCGCAATAAATCTTGCCTTGCCTATCGCCTCGAGGATTCCGCGGCGTGTTATCGGATATCCGCTATCTTTCTCACTCTATCAAATGGCGTTTCTAAAAGACAGAAAAGGATATTGTAAGGGAAAAAAGGCGATACCGCGCTGTCAAATATAGGTAAACCCTTACCCTAACGATGGTTTTTTATCGCCGATAATAATGTAGAGGTTTGAAGACACGCAGCTGTCTGGTAAAAAGTTTTTTCAAAAGTCTTATTAAATGTTTTATTCACGTATTTTTTTTTAAATCAGTCATTCACTGTTTTCAGCTATTTTGCTCGGATTTAGCTTACATGTTGTTTACAAGTAAGAATTAATTTCAAAGTTAGTTTTGTTTGAATTTATTGCTTATCTTTCAATTAATGGGAATTCCTCTGACGATGTGTCAGTGAAGCAAGCCTAGAGATTTATGAGATTCGAGTGTTTATTTGTATGGAGAACACGAGGTTTCTGTTCTCTGATATCGAACCTTTATGTCATTCATAAGTGACAAATTACCTCATAATCATCGATATCTATGACGGAATACTTACCGCAGTTACCTATTGGCAAATATCGAGACTTGGGCCTAAATTAAAATTGCGATAAAAGAATAACGTTGTTCGTTCCACTTCATGACACTATACGCCCAGAGATAAGGTCTAAAATTCGGTATCGTGATTTTGTTTAGGAGTAAACCCCATGATTAATATGTTTTTTATCACCTTTATCAGTGGTATTTTGATGGCGTTTATAGACTATTGTTATCGAGCAAATAGCCGTAATAGCATTGTTATACCTATTAGGTATAACGTATAATTGTATAGTCAGGTTCAACGATAGTATGAAATAAAATGTAAACGCTAAAAAGCATCGGACGATTGTTTTTAATTATAAGTATTTTCTAATTTAATATTGTTATCTTTCAAGAGTAGAAGTTATATAGTTATTATTTATTTATATATGTTAGTTATCTGTGTAGAAAGAAACTCTGCAATTGTTTATATTTATTAGTTCAATAATAATTTATAAATATGAAATTTATTTTTTTTCAGGTAAAAATTTTCCCTGGTGACAGTAAATATGAAACTTCCTTACAAGAGAGTTCATGGCCAGTTTGGAATGAAGACTTTAAATTCCAATTGAAGCTTAAAGACGCGAAGAGGCCGTCAGACAAGGTCGACCTTCAGAGTCTTGTAGCCGGTCATTTTTTGTCGCTCACAATTTATGCAATACTTGAACCGCCAAAATCAGAGACGGACAAAAGAAAAAATACTAAGACTTTAGATACGAAAAAAACTAACATAGTCACAGAACATGAGGAAAATAAAGCTAAGACTGGTTTTCTAGAGAAAACTTTTAGTAGTTTCAAATCGACGAAATCCGAAGCCATAGCGCAGAAATCTATTTTAGAGAAGAGGAGGACCGTGGGTGCTGCAACGTGGAATTTTGACTCGAAGTTGTTCCAAAATGATCTCAAGAATGGGTTGATTGGCACGCCAGATATATGGAGGCCCATCAATGCTATTGCCAGTGGTCTGAATACGGCTGATTCACGGGTACGTAACACATTAATTCAATTTATTGCTCGCATTTGCGCTCTCGAGATTTATGCTTTTGATCAGACAGACTCGTTATTTCATGAGTCGTCAGAATTTTCAAAACAATACAATGAAATTTCAAACGTGAAATTTCGCATTTAACGTTCAATATTACATATATTTAAATTCTGCCATGATTGCGATTCTTACCTTGAATGAAGTTTCTTGTTAAAATGCTCTTTTAATCATTGCCCCTTACAATATTTTTATCGCTAAAATAACGTAATTATTACAGAGCCTTAAAATTACAAATGTTACCAAATACACACACCTATAAATGACTGTGTTTTTTTATAGATACAAAATAGTATCTAGAAAATCGGCCATTTGTTTTAATTTCTATTCCCAAAACTATCGTCCTAAATTCTACATTACACATACAATTTGAAGGTGTAAAAAGGTATTTTTATTATATATCGAATTTCTTTGGCGATGAGCACAAGTATTAATTTTAATAAGGATACATAAATATAGCATACTAGCTTTCGCCAGCGGCTTCGCCTGCGTGGTCCCTAGGGAAATATTTAGTGGGATAAAAAGTATCCTATTATCTAAGTCAATACCCTATCTGTATAGCAAATTTCATCAAAATCCGTTTAGTAGTTACGGCGAGATTGACGAACAAACGTCGAAACAAAGAAACTTTCAAATTTATAATATTGGTAGGATACCTATGTTAATCCAGAGTTAGATTTACCTATGTACCAAATTTCATCAAATCTGTTCAACAGTTTCGGTGTAAAGAAGTAATAAACATCTAAACCTAGGGGAGACCGGGGCTGGTTGTGACATTTTTTTTACAAACTGTCATATTTTTTTATTGGTTTGTTGTTTTACCTGACTATAGGTTTATTTGATTAAGTAACTATTTCGGATCTTTATTTAAAATACACATTATGTAGCAGACTAATAGTAATGATATAAATGTATGAATTCTGAAAAAAAGCAGTGTAAGTTTCAACCCCGTGCTTGGGGCTGGTTGTTACACTACATGGGGTAAATTGTTACAATAAAAATCAAACGTATTATAACAGTTTTATTAGGAACAATCATCATAATCAGTTACATTTCTTTATTTGAATAACAACATTATGTAAAAGCAGTCTTTTGCCTCATTACAACGAAAACATAATAATCTAAAATGAAACAAAATTACGAACTTAATATTTGGTCTTCTACTTCGTAAAACAAAACAATAATTCTCAACTATAAGATTATAAACATCTGTATTAAACAAAACCTTTGTACCTTCCAATGAACAAAACGTATTTTTATATTATTTAAAGTGAGAGATTCCACAGGCGTGCCCTTCTCTTTTGCTTCTTTTCTTTTCTTTTTAAATATCTTGTCAGCGACATGTGACATAATCCGAAGTCTTTTGCGATGCCACGATTTTTTTTAGTTTTGTCCTCCTCCAAAATAGTTGCTGCTTGTTGATAAACATCTTTAGATATTTTGCCCCGCTCAGTTTTTCTTATATACGTCCTCATCCTACAAAAAAAATGACAAACACAATGTAGCACAAATTATGTCAGTCGGCAACAAGCACTACGGGGCAGGTAGTGACAAATCACAACCTACCCCGAGCAAATGTAACTTTTAGCCCCAACACCAAATCTGACCATTTAAGGTTATGCAGTGAAAACGTTAGTAAACACAGCTGTTTGAAAGTAGATTCATTGCAAAACGAAAGCATTAGGGTGTAAAAATCACAACAAGGACATCTCTGCCTTTATGGAACATAGGTTGCAAACCAATATTACTAACCTGTGATTTTAATGGCAGCACGCGCGTGCCCCTCTCACAAAAACGCTGGCGCCACTGTCTCTCGCGGCGTGCTAGCCGGCGGCGGCGGGAGTATTTGTCTCTTTCTAACGTCAGTATTGCGTACTCTGTTTCGCAACCATTGCCACTGTAACTACCTGCCCCTGTCACATCCAACCCGGTCTCCCCTACAAACTTTTGCTATTAGATTATTAGTAGAATAATATGATGTTGAGTATACTAACCTTAGTATACTCAACATCATATTATTCTACTAATGGAGATCAGAGTTTCTAATTCCAACCGTGAGTATGAAGACGGAAAATTACTAAATAATAATTCCTGAATCAGAATTCCAAGTAGGTAATTAATGAATTGGAGATTCGTTTATAAACGAATCACTACTTCAAAGGATACAAAAGTAATATCAGTCTATAATACTAGCATCAGTCTTCTAAGTAAGTAAAAAAAACGATTTTATCATTTTTAGTCATTTATTCAGCACACGCATGATCCTCTCAAAAAGAATATATTTTAATTTTAAATTATTGTAACAAAACTTTCAACACTGTTAATATTATTCGGTAAGCCCGCTGGCAATCTATGATGTTACTGGCTTTCAGAGGTTTTTTATCTGTTTGGTACGTTTGTAGGTTAGTTATACATATTTAACTAGTGATGTTTGATATTCCTGTTAACAGTAGCTAAAAACGGTGTGAGATTAGTTTGTAGTAATCCTCTTCGGCCAGTCTGCCGATTCCTAACCTTTCTCACCAAAGTGAGGGTACGTTGGAGGGGTTTAGTGGATATGCCATCGTCGTTTTGACTACTCTTTAGACCGTCCGTGCTGTTGGATAGTCTCACACACCTTACATTCAAGCGACAAGAAGTGCTTAACGCATTGCTTCTACGAAATAAAAAAAAAATAACAATCGCACGGACTTCCTTCTCCTGATTCTGAAGTTCTGCAATTGGTGAGAAATTTTCAGTTAAAAAGTTTACTTGTAAAAATCCTTTTTAAGCCAATCCAAAATTTAGTTTTTGTTGAGCATTTGCATAACAAAGATGTTTCCGAGCGCGAAAAGGTTTAGTTCTATCCAGTGTACCAGTTTTTGCTAGCTATTTCAGATATACCGAATCAATCTGTAACCTATTTCAGAAATACTATCAGCCTTTTTGATGTTTCTCTGAAATAATTTTCGCTATATAAAGCTGGAGGCAATACTCAACGAATGGCCTTTATTTCGTTTGAATACTTCACCGGTTTAGAAGCTAATTACTAGTTATGTTCTAGTTTTTTACCAAAGTGTTGAGTAACCTTCAAATATTACCTACTCGCTGTATCTAACTTGATATTTGGAGGGTGTACCCCCCCTACTGATCTAGCTGTTATAATATGTTGAAATAATTGGAATATTTCAATCAAATTACTTTTTGAACTCAATTAATTCAGTGGAACAGAGTGGAGTTTTTGATTGAGATTGACTTATAGATGAAATTTGTTGGAAAATTTAATTGACTTCTATAATGTTATAGTACAATAGTATAGGTTCTATTGAGTCAAGGTTATCTCTATCCCTTCGAAAGTCTTGATTTTTTTCTAATCTTTGGAATTATCCCCAGAGGATAATTGCGTCTGGGTGAAGCCTTGCCGGGATTTATAACATTAGTATTTCGGGAGGTAGATAATTACAATCCTGGACGTATGAATTGGTGAAAGGAGAATTAGATAATACGTTTTCGTTCGAAATAAACTACAAATGATATGGAACCTATTTTGCCTGCTGTATTAGATTGGTTAAGACTACCAGAGATAATTGAGTCATTCAATTTATGAGGATAAAATTGCAAGTAGTCTTTTACTTACAGGAAAGCGACTCATAGCATAAACTACATAATATATAAATAATTTGCGGTCAAGAGTTCCACACAAGTATTAAAAACTATGAACTTCTTAAAGGTTTTTCCATTCGAAGAACAATTTTTAGTGTTTTTGTTTACAAAGTATTATTTTTAATAGAGATAGGTAATAAAATGTGGAGATGAGGGAGCATTAGTCAAATTATTTTCATAATAATTAATGTAAAAATTATTTGTTAATGCGGATCGAAGGCAACCATTTTTTTATTTATTTTTTATACTTTTCATATTTTTGATTTATATTGTCTATTGACAGTGGATTTAGTGTTGTTACTTTGTTTCAGGCAACTTATGTATGTATGTGTCTATAATATATTTTTGAGATTCTTAACCTTTACGTGTCCTTTTTTATACGCCTGTATTTACGTCCGCAGTGTTTATTTATATTGTTTTAAACTTCCATGGTCCCTAACGTAAGAGTAACAATTATTTAGGGTTATTCCCTCTAATTAACTAGGTAGTTTGGTTATTTGAGACTAGCTGTTTTTCTGCGACTTTATCTGCGTAAACTATACCCCATAGCACCCACGTATGATGTAACTTCTCTCAAGTAAAGGAGTTTTTATAATCGGACCAGTATTTCTGAAGATTATCCCCTACAAACAAACATACGAAGATGGAAATTTTTACTTCTTTATAACATTAGTAAAGGTTTGTACGTTAGGTTACCACAATATGTTGAATTTGTAGTCTACCCATAATATATCGTGGATAAATTTGATAGCTATGTTTGTACAACAAGCCCTTTCATTAATATGTTATATGATATAATAGTTAACAAACATTTTTGCAGTTTATAATTTATTTACTTATATTTCATTCTGTTCTATATTCTTCTTTTGGTCATCGTGGTTTTGTGCTTTATGTATCAAATATTAACAAAATCAATATTGTAGTTGCGAAACAAATTAGCTGTGACATAAGGGACTAGAGTCATCCTATAAGAATCTCATTTTATCCCTTTTCACGTTTAAAAACCTGAAAACATTGTTCACAGTGGAAACCTGCTGAATTTTTCTCTGCTTGAATAATAAACGCAAATTGATAAAACACACGACTTAATTAAGGTTTAAAAACATGAAATTTACATGGAAAAAATGTTATACAAATATTATTTCGTGAAAAGCGTATATGAGCTTGTTTAATTCATCGCGGATGTTTTTTGTAACGGAACTGAACCTTTTTGTTTTTCTCTGGTTTTCTTATTCTTTCGCCAAGGATTATTATCGTTAAAATGACGTAAAAAAAGCTACATCTGTGGATTTTAGATCAAAATTTTGATAAAATAGTCCTATAGTCATACCCGCTTTTTAAGAAGAAAAGTAGTTTCAATATCGTATCGAGTAACCAATGTCGAGTTTGCAAAAGAAACAAACTAACATACAAAAAACATACAGTCAAATTGAGAACATCTTCCTTTTTGATGTCGTTTAAATAAGGTGGGTGTGCAATATGGCTTAAGGCCATAAAGAATGAAATAATAGGATACCTTTTTGGTATATCTTTAGGAAAAAAATAAGTTAAAAAACTACGCAGTCCTTTGGTCGTTATATATATTTGAAATGTGCTAATTAAGCCCTACCCTACACAGTATGATTGAATAATATATTTTTTAGTTCTTACTTTATGCTCTTTAGAGGGCGCTGTTGCTCATTTAATGTAACGTCACTTAGCCCATAGCACGCTGAAAACTAAGAAGCTTATAAAGATACCTCATTTGTCACGATGAGTAATTTCGAAGTTATAAGAAAATAGATGTGCATTCTTACAAACATACATACCGGTTAAAATCATAACCTTTCCTTGGGTTTGGTATTTGATAGTCGTATTGTTTTAAACATTATAAAACAATACGACTATCAAAAACCAAATACTGTTATTTTTAATGTGAATAATACTAGCATTTGGTGAAAATGGACACACGGTAAAAAGGCGAATGTAACAAGAGGGTACAAATGAACTTAAGGTGTTATTGAAATTATTAAAAAAAAAACTTTATATATCTGTACATTTTTTGCCGTCAGACGCAATATTTAAAATAATCTAACATAAATATTCACACAGAAAAATGTACTTGTATTGAATAGTTAACCATTGTTTAACGTGTATGTTAAATTGTACGTATATTAAATGATTGCATAATGCGTCACAACTATGACTCATAGACTTGTGTGAATAAAATCTTGACACTAGACACCTACAATACAATAGTTTTGACCTCGACCGGTCCCATCTAATAGAAGCTTGGGTCACGTCATGCAAGGTAGCAAGATTGACAAAGTTGGACGATAAAAAAAGGACGAACTACGTATCCAAAGGGTCAGCTTAAACGACTGTTTCGAATGTCGTTAACAATCGAAATTTGCGTCCTATTTTTAGCCGAATGTTCTTTAAAAAGGTTCAGACGAGTGAATTGGGATCTTTAGACACGATATTCTCGGCAATAGATGTTTTTGAATAATATATTTTTCCACTATGTACTTTTACGATCCGACGCACACGATACCACCGCAGAGATTTTTAAGAGAGCATGACTACTCTAGGTTATTAATAAGTTATATATTTAATTTAAATATATGTAAGAAAATACTGTGCCGATGACGTGTGGAAAAAAATGTGTATTGCTCGAATAAAGAGCTCCAATTAAATTAAATTTAGAGCTCATTATTTCATAGAATACAGAAAATACAAAGTAATTCTTATATTTATATTTACCTTAAAAATAATATCTTTCTAGTTTTTGCCCGGAATTTTTTATAAATACACATTTCAATCCTTGTCGAAATTTACCTTGTAGTTTTCTCATATCGATTTATAACGTTTTATATGGGACTTATTTCGTTTTCTATTTGATACTAGTAATAAAATAAGTCACGTTCATTGCTTCAGTGTTTAACTTTGTTTCTAATAATTTATGTGCATAGATGAAATTATTCCTTCTTAATAATTGCGTAATTTGTAGCACATAGGTTATCTGCACATAGGTAAAGACAATCAAATCTTTATCAAATCAAAACAATCAAATCTGTCCTCTTAATAATAGAAGTTAAATAGATTTCAAAGTTATGGAAATAGTTTTTTATCAGGGTATGACGAAGGAAGTAGGTATATTTTATTTACATAAAAATCGCAATTCACTTTTGTAATACACTTACATGATGAATATCAGGAATATTCTTCAAAGTTATATTAATCTCTAGATATGCCACCGACTAATCGTTGAAATTGCTGTCGACTAAGTATAAATGTGTCTCAAAATGGCACAAAATAATTATCACCTACCATATTTCTTGTGTTGAGTTACTGAGGCCTAGTATAAATGTCTCAAAATAATTATCACCTAGCATAATTCTAGTTTTGAGTTACTGAGGCCTAGTATAAATATGTCTCAAAATAATTATCACCTAGCATATTTCTAGGTTTGCGTTACTGAGGCCTAGTATAAAAATGTCTCAAAATAATTATCACTTACCATATTTCTAGTTTTGAGTTGCTGAGACCTAGTATATATACCTAGTATAACCTCATTTAATAGCAAATAAACGATTACTATTACTATTACTACTATAAATATGTCTCAAACTAATTATCACCTACCTATATTTATTTCTAGTTGAGAGTTTCTGGCTGATTTCAAAGTTGCTATTGTGTCAGTTTATTTTATTTCACCTATTTGAAACGTTTAAAAACTGTAACTTTGCACTTGGAGATGGAAAAATATGCATTAATACTCATTATTGAGAGTCGTAAACCTCCTTTTTCAAGTCTATCTTATCCAACTACATTTGTGATTACAGCTCAAGTAACACTTAGTACTACAGCCTGATTTAGTAGCGCTACTAACGCAAGTAATTTATTATGTTAAAGCGCTCTTAGGTATATGCCTTTCCTGGCTAGTCGACCTATCTTTACTAGTCGTCGTTGAGCAGATTTTGCGTATCATAGTACGAATAATATTAGAGAAAATTTTTGTCCTAATACTTATAATGTATCGCTTGGTTTTCTACAGAGAGAGAACAAAAAGGGGCAGCTGGAAGTGACACTGATGTATACTAGCAGCGAAGATGGCCTCAACGATACAGTACAACTCACAGTAAACCGCCTAAGGTGTAGCGTACAGACCATGCAGGAACAGGAACAATATAAAGGTGATTCATTATGATACCTAAATATACAGGGTTATGGTAATAGTTGTCCATTGCAGCGCTGACACATCATAGAGGTTCAATGTAATAAAACTTTTATTATAATCCCTATAAATTGTCGATGCGCCTGGCTGCATATTAAATTATTAAATAGGTATAACAATATGTTGGGGATAATACATGAATATTTAAAGAATTAATAAATAATTTATATCTTACATTTTATGCTACCCATGCTTTCTATTTTCAAATGACGTCCTGCGGGTGTTAGATGAGGTTCCAACGCATTAGCAATTTGATGGACTGATACTTTTTGATAGAACCTCTATGCTATTGTTGTGCTGCGTCTGCTGTGGATTTTGAGGGTGTTTTTGTAATTACTAACATCATAAACAACAACGTTTAATCTAAAAGTTTATCCGTAACTCAATACTTAAAATAAAAATTAGTTATTATATTTTATCAATTTCGCATTCACGATGCTATACTGGAAAATATTCCCAATGAAAAATGCTTAAAAAATTCACTTTGCCCCTGGCACAAAGAGATGGGATTCGAACTCCAAGCGACTGCACTCACCACAGGACAATTTTTCAAGCAATTTTTTTTTTCGCTAGTACATAGCGTATTTTTATCAGTGTTCAGACGATCCACCTAAACAGCCGCAAGAATTATTTTAAACTTCCGATAAAGATAAGAATTTGTTGAAATTATTTCATTTGATCAATTACCTATTCACAAAGCTATACTGGAAAGTATTCTTAATGAAAAATGTGGATTTTGTAAGCATTTTTTCTTAAGAATAAAAATTAGTTTTCATCACCTGCTTGGACGGTACATACTTATTAGTTAAAAGATGCGTGTAGAGTTATTAACTTTCGAGTGGTTTAATAAAATTAAAAAATGATTTCTTATGAAAGCAAATTTTTTGAATTTGAAAATAGGGGAGAGTTGATCTTTATAATGCTATCTATATAGTTCTCTCAAGTTGGTGGTGACTTATAAATAACCCTGTATAGAAATAAATTATCATATATTCAGTACGAAAATACGATCATTCATTTATACGTAAATCGACACTGATAGCATAAAAATATTTGTATTTTAGTTTCTTATTAACAGACAAAAATATGTTAGAAATATTTTCGCCAAAAGAATGATAATTTTTTAATTATTTTTCACAATACTAAAATGTCCACTAGTATGGAGAAGCCGCATTGGGACGCGTACACTAATAAAATTTATTCTGCACGCCTGTATCTAATATTGTTATTCCAAAATGTATTACAGTTTCTTTGTTACTTCAGCATAAATTGTGTATCGGGTATCTTTAAAATATACAAAATAAGGCAAACAACATGGCTTGACCCTTTGAGTGCCCTAGTTTCATTGCCTTTTGTATCTTTGTGCAGTTATAAAATATTCATTTTTTGGGGTAATCTGACAAACATTAGTGGTAGATTTCTTTTAGTTAGGCACTATTCTATGCTTAAATATGAATGTACTAAAATTTTTTCCACGATTTAGAACACCTAAATTATTATAGCATATGTCTCCCGTGTATGATAAAGCTTCCCATAGACGAATGAATGTTTTAAAATCGGTCCTGTAGTTTTGGAAGCTATACAATGAAAACAAACAAACATATCTTTCCTATTTATAATATTATGGTATAGATATATATGCTCTTTGATTTATTAGAAAGTCTGTCTTGTGTTCACCGAGTCTATAAGCTGCTATAATTGTAATTGAATTTGCCTTGTAAAATGTAAATAAGAATTCGATTTGTATACCTATTGATTCTTTTTTGTTACCGTTTTGCGTAATACATCTTGTCAATTACACATCCCAATAAATTTATTTCTGTGCATTAGCATAACTAGCAACGCTATTATGTTCAATAAACATATATTTAAATTGCGCGGATGCCAAATTATTGAGTCTGATTCAATAATAGTAATGTAAGATTAAAAAGCTCGGGCCAAATATTATAAAGTAGATGCGATACTTGGTCGTATAGTGAAAATGAAAACTCTGTTTCTTTAAAAACTCTATGGATATATCCAAATCCATCCTAAGTATACAATTTATAGAGTATTTGGTGTGCTATGGATATGGCTTGTCATTATATGCCGCCGTCGCGGGCGAGACGGAGGCTTAGAGTTTGATGCCCGGTCGTGTTAACGAAGAAAAGTATTTTTTTCTATATTTTGGTGTTATTTAATTTGAGATCTGAGCAATTTGTGTAATGTTGCCAAATATTTAATTGTTATATTTAGTACTAGGTTTCCGCCAGTCTTCACTAGCGTAGTCCTGTATTATACTCGTACTTATAAATCTTCTTCTTGAATTACTCTCTATGTTGATGAAGACCACATTAAAATCCGTTGTGTAGTTTAAAAGATCTCAGCATCGCGACAGCGGGAAGCGACTTTATTTTATACTGATGATAGATATATGCACAACGTCAAATACTTATAATTAGTGGTGTGATGTATTTAAAAAGAAGAATTGCGATTGTTATTTATATGTTTTCATTTCACTTTCGTTCTTTCGATTATTTGATCCCTACGCGTGTGGTCGGCTATGTATTTACAGTCAACAGCACATTAGACTATACAATAATGTCGATTTTCTCTACTTGGTTTTAAATGTTAATGCAATTGAGATAGAGTTCAAAATCAATTGAGGAAATTTGACATATTGTGGTAGCCTGAAGTTCTGCCGTATGTAAACACACGTCGTCTCACCAATGCGGTTGTTCCTTTTGTATTGAAAACTTCCTGAGAGTCCTACATGACAAAAAGCCTAATAGAAAATAATTTTGTGTCTAAACCGTCCGACATGTGCATTAGTTGGACGCACTGAACAGTTGAGATGCTCTATGATTACTAAAGAGGTGAGAGTTGTCGCTGTGCTATGCATGTTGAATTACAATCGTACTACCGTTGGTATACAACAAGGAAGTTGCTTCTCGTTCACGTTCCCTATTGTTATAAATATATTTGGTTTGAAGGTGGGAATCTTGATTTGCAACAAGCAAATTGTCAGCTATGTTTTTGCTAAAGCAAGCAAAGTTTCATATTATGGTAGGCCCGCATTCTGATTGTGGATTAGTATTTTTTTCTTCATCGCACTTACGTTCTTATTAATGATTTCGGTTCAATGGAAAGTTTCTATTGCATATTAATGATTGTTCAATGTCTTGTATGTGCTACAAATTTTCTATAAATTATTATCGCCATATTGAATTTGACGTGGGAAAATACATATTTTGTTAGACGAACAAACAGACAATCGTTAAAAGTTATAGATACTAAATTTAACAAATATAAATCTCCTCCAATACTAGAATAAGGACAGTCAGGATCTATTGTTACTGCAATGATAAATGAGAGAACTTTACAGTTGTTAGTTCGAGGGGACTGTGTCAGACACTTCGGAACTGGGAAAAACGCAATTTAATGTTATAATACCTTGCGACTCAAAGGGACTAGCCACCATTACGTTAAAAACGAACTGAATGCCATCTTATTCAGTTATTTCTGCGTAGTCAAACGGTAAATTTAAAAATTCTTAAATTCTGAAAACAATGTTGAATATTGGACGTTAACGATACTCTCAAATAAAATTGTAGCGTGTAACTGATATTAAATATACCCATCTAGAACTAGTTGTCACGATTCAGTAGTCATTAAATGGGGCGTAAAAGATATAGATGTTTGACATTGTGAGGCGTATTTATCATCAAACTTTTAAATTATATATTTTCTATATATATATTATATATTAATGGTAAAAACAACATAAAAATTTAAGACTTGATATTTTACTTTTTGGCTTTCCTGAAAATTTTTTGGTGATTACGCCCTTTCAGTCGTATATATCGATAAAAAGTTTACGAACATTGATAAATAATAATAATAAAAAAACATTTGTTTTACAGCACCACTATATTTAAAAGCGACGATATTAGAAGCAAATAAAGCGGAGTGTTACTGGAAGAGTGACAGGTTTGCTCCAACAATATCCGCCAGATGGGACCCAAAGTCGGCGACTGTTAAAATGACAGTGTTCAAAGCTAATCTCAGGAAAGTGACCGTTTACATCAGTTTGGGGTGCAAGACAAAAATGGCAAAGAAGGAGATCTTGGGAAAAGCGACGATCGACGAGAAATCTCAGTACTCTGAATCGTGGAACGAGTGTTTGAGACAACCTGGCATACCGAAAACGTTCTGGGTTAATTTTGAATGATGTTAATATATTTTTATGCTGGCAGTATGAAAAGTTTGGTTGTAAACTAATTAGTTACTTTTTAGTACGGGCGTGTTGAGATACGGTGACAAATCACTGAAAACCTGTTCCTAGTCGAATATAGACCCTTCATTTAGCTGTCTCGTTCTATCAATATAGTCGCGTCCTTGTCAATATTGTATCGTTGGTAATTAAATTGACGGCTTGTCGCAATCAATAGGGTAATAGACTATCGTTTTATATCCGTCTCCAAGATGTCAAATTGAGAGCAATTTAAGGGTGTTGAGGAAAAAGATGATATAAATTGAAGTTCTGATTGTTTGGTTTTGACACTCGATGGACCGTCATCATAATGCTCGCTAAGATATATTATGACACCTCTCATTAGGCAAGCCATGGGCTCGTAAGAGCAAGTCTTGTCAAAATTAAAGTAACCTCAAACAAAAACAGCGAAATACATGACTTATCACCGCAGTAAATTCTAAAGCCGAACAAACGAACTACAAGCCGTGTATGCAGGTTGCGTTGAAGATACACGCCTTTAGACGGTATGAAGTTCGCGGGGTCAACTAATAAAAAAATATCGAAAAACGACCGTGTATCAGTGGCTACAATGTTTCGTTATGTGCTTTCGTAAGTATTTGCCACCGTATATGAATTTCTCGTCGTACTAAGGGTTAGTATCTTTTTTTCAGAACGCACTGTTCTGAAAAAAGTCCATGCTTGCTTCATACACGGTTATTTATGAAGCAAGGTGCACTGTTCTGCACAGGATGCAAAAAACTGGAACGGTGCCGTATCGCAATAAATCTCTGAATTTTTAATCCGAATACGGGTTATTTTCCGTTGCATATATTTAAAGTGAATAATCTTTTCGTACTGCAACTTTTAACTTTGAACTGCGCCTTTGTATGACTATTTTATGATTGTGGAGCGATGTTGTGTATATTATTAACGATACTGTGATTGGTTCTTTACTTGTAAAAATAATTCATGCCTCTTAGTCTATACTTTGTGGTTCATAATAAATACAAACTCCATACAAATAAAGCTCGGACGGCCGGTGCGTCACATAGGTATTATATATTTTGTTAAAATAATTTCTTTTTTAATTTATCTTGATGTTTTGGTTTCTGAAAAGACATACAAATAAACATTCCTTTTTTGTTAACGCGCACAAATAGGATTAATTAATGTTATATGTACCTTGACTTTTTTATATGTTTATCGATAAATTATAAAATTTTATCAAAGAAAACAACAAACATAATCTACGTTTTTTAAGAAGGTTGTATGAAAAATAGAATCAAATATTTTTTTAAGTTGCCATTTTATTATATTTTTAATTGATAGAAATGACAATGTACGAGGATGTATGAAGAATGTGACGTTTTTATTTTTTTTACAAGCTACATAGTTAGGTATAATACTTTTGTATAAATATTGTCTATATATGACATGTTAAATTATTATTAAATATTTAACCCACTAACCATGTTTTTCCGTTGAATTAAAAAACAAGGAGGTTTTGCTCATTTGGACTACAATGAACGATTTAAATCAGCTTTATAATTGGACACTGACAGTTGGATGTGATAATAAATACGTGTGTCACGATGTCACGCAAAATAAAGTTTTACCTGCAGCCACAAATGCACAGGAAAATAATTCTTTTGTATTTTGTGAATGGATAAATTTGTCCATGATATTTTGAACAGCAGTAAAAATAATCTGTATTAACAGAAGCGAATTATCGCTTCACTGTTGTAATGCTCGCTTATGCAGCCTAGACTGGAACACTAATGTAAGAAGATTGTGGCAAAGAGATTGTTTAATTCCGCATCGAAACGAAACGTGTAACTATTACGCTATCTCAATTTATCACCCCCAAAACACTATATTCTTACTGAGTTTCATGAAAAGTCAGTGTCCATCAACGCACCTACAGCTAAAAGTACTATTCGTATCGTGTTGAAATCTGGAACACTAATGTAAGAAGATTGTGGCAAAGAGATTGTTTAATTCCGCATCGAAACGAAACGTGTAACTATTATGCTATCGAGCTACTTCTAAATCTATATTATATTGGGCAAATAGAGTAAATAGAGTAAAAGTCGAGCAGAGAGAAAAGGAAAACAAAACAAAACGCGTCATGTTCGTCACCGTTTATGTACCGCTTTGTAAACGTTTGTAAATGTACCTACCATCTTTCCGGTTCCGATTTTTCTTTTCAGCCTATTGATGCAAAGGCAATAATTTCCCCAAGAAAAATGCTTTCCCAAGGCGTCGTGTCTTTTTTGCCTCGAGTTAGGTCCTCGAGGACTTTCACCGACATTAAATGTATTAGATAAATGGTAAAACACATTAAAGGAAGATGCTAAATTGGGTATTGATTAACTCTTGACCATTTTATTAAATATTAATTATTAACTAATTGATACATAGTATATAATTCATCATTTTACTATGTACTCGTTGTTTTTTACCATGACGAAAATGATTTACCAATAATACAACAGTATATAGTTTTTTTAATAATATTAATTGGCTTTGATTAAAAGTCTTTTAAGCCCTTAAAGCAGACAGCATATTCACTGCTATGAAACTTATACTTATTTCGAATTAGTAATCAAATTCTGTACTTGAATAGGTTTAAGTAAGCCTAATATTATTTAATCTACATATTCATTAATCATGGCTTTGGTTTGTGACCTTTTATTATCAAAGCACTATGTTATTCCAAGTAGTAGTATAAACCTAAATTAAACAGTATAAATTGGAATTATTAATTTTCGCTAACCGTTTGTTGCGAATGAAAAGCCAGGGACAATCTGTTACCACCAAACTGTATAACCACTATTACGCTGCGTAATTCAAACCCACTTTTAGGAGATTGCTGCCCCTTTTATGTTAGCCAGGTATTAATCACGAAAAGCTGGAGCGCTTAACCGTTAATATTTTATTCGGAAGTTTATGTTAAAGGGATATACTTTGTTTTTTAGTCAAACGAGTTTCTTTTATTATGTAAATAGGTTTTTTCCCTGTAATTTTAAAGCATAAATAACGTGTAATGCTTGGTCATGTAACGGTGTGCCGTACCATTGTTTATTTCGTCTTAGGTATCCGCATGCAAAGTTTTTGTCTTTGATATTCAACATCATTTCTTTTTATTATTAACCTTTTGTAATTTGAAATTTTGACTAATCAAATATGCTTTTTATGAATGTCAGTTCGTAAAAAAATGATCTGGGTGTGAACATGATAATGTTATCATATAAATTTAAATATAAAAATTTATAACAATTAAGTTATTATGATTTAAACAAGAAAAATGTTAATCTTAAAGTATATCTTCGTGAAATATCGTCCAAGTTTTATCTATTACAGAAAACCCAGTAACGGGGTATATATTTGTTCTATTTAATAACTATAGTTATATATTTAGATAATCATACGAATTGTTTTTAATTAAATCGAGTTATCAAGCTTAGCCAGCCTTTCATTCATTCGCTCAAGCATCGAACCGGTCACAACCGGCGCCCAACGTGGGGCGAATGAATGAAAGGCTGACTAAGCTTGAGAACCATTACAATCATAATAAACTTTAAAGAGGTTAAACAAAAAGCGAGCGAAGGTGGCATGAGTCCAAACTGAATTCTACTATGTTGAGGGGAAGCATGTATTTATAATTCACGCTTCCCCTTAATAATTATTAAAATTGACTACCAATAAATGTAATGTAAGTACTTTAACCATAGTCATCCTATAATCGATTTATCTAAGTATGGCCGGATAAGTCGTCAAACGTTATATCATGACTGATACGACAAGTATCAAAATGGCGAATCCAAGAATAGGGACGGATCGTGTCCATGTAGATTTGATCGGCCATTTTTACGATCGACTCGATCGACATATACATTATTGGAATATAAATAGAAAGGCACAATATTTATAACATTTATTTTTATTATTCTTTGTGAGACTGTGTCTAAGTGTCTGATAAACAACACCATCTCACAATATTTCCATCGAAACAATAATAGAAGGCGAGACATGATTGCACAGGCGATTTAACAAACTTCCGTTTTAATAATCAGATATTCAATACAGAGGGGCGCAGACTTACTTAGCATCTCGTGTTGATATCGATAGTTCTGGCGGGATAAACATGGATGCTCAATTGGAATCCCAATTTGTAAGCTGGTAATGCCGTTTTACGGATCAATAAGTATATAAAAGTGATGATTCCACATTTGCTTTACAATTCTCAAATCATTATATAAATTTGTTTCATAACAAACAAAATGCTTCGTTTAAATCGTTATTAAAAAGAGCGATCATTTATTTTGCAAAGTTTTTTATTGTTGTACTGTTAGGTATACCATAGAGAAATACAAGAGAGAAATTCTTTTAAAAAGTTACCAAGTTAAGTATAAAAGGTATTCATATTGTTGGTAATTATTATTTCTCTTCGCTTTCGAACACAAAGGCTTGATGTAATGTTTTCTCATATTAATCAAATCATAATCTAGCAGTAATATACTACTTGCCACTTAGTTCATATGGCCTTCGAAATTGCAATCCCTAGGAAATTCGTTTAATGAATCCACTTTAGTTTAAGCGTGTCCTTTGTAGATTTATACTAGGTCAAAAAAATAATTTATTGTTACAAGAGAATGATGGCATACTACATTGTTAAAAAACAGCCTCTGCTTCTTCTTAACTTTAATGGCACTTTGCGTCACCACAATACTGCCAACTTCACGTAGGGATTTACCGTCGAGTTTAGTGCTAACGCGCCATAACAATCTTTTAATACCTTTCGAAAGAAGTTTTATTTGATTGGATGTCTATGCTTTTCTTATAGAAGAATAGCATATATATTTTACATAAACCTTAAGTGCAATTATGGTGCAACCGAGTCTTAGTGCGCTTGACGTGCTGAGATTTTTTGTAACTAAGTATATTTAATACAAGTCATAGGATGAATACGGGTTGTTCCCAGTATTTTCTCTTTTGTCAACGAGATTGAGTTTGTTTTAAAACAAAATATTATACTGCTGATCTTTGTCACTGCTGATTTTGATTAATATTGGGCGAAAGAGTATTGTGGCAATATTAACTTGTTCTATTGAAAATTAATGAATCGTCAACATTTTGATACCTAC